GGCGTCTTGATCGTGGTGCGGTTTGCCGTCGGTGTCCACGAGGCAATCCGGTTCGACAAGTCGAGCTGCGAATCCGAATGCCGCCTTGTTTGACGGAGCGGCGATCGAGACCGGCAGCAGGCCATAGCGAGTCGCGGCCGAGGCGGCCGGGAAGGTCGGCTGCCGTGAAACCGTCCAGTGTCTCTTGAATGGCGACCCGCTGCGCGTCGTCGACGTTGGAAGCGACGGTGCATCAGACGACGCTTGGGACAAACCGAGGGGGAGTTGGTTGCACTCTACGTTTCGATGTCTCCGTGAGAGCGGCTCTTCCGCACTAGCATGGACGCACCTCCAATTCAATCGCAGCCAACCACTTGTTGGAAAGCTCACGCGCGGCTTCGGTAACGGCCTTGTTGCTGCGCGCTCGGAGGTCTTGGACAGTTGTTAGGATGCGCGTCAACTATTCCTCGGTACATAAGATTGAAGCATTCCCGATGCTCGCACGTACAAAGAGCTCGCCAAGCGCCATCGCCGTGACATCCAAGCTGCGGAAAATGCCAAGAACATCCTTGTCGGCGGCCGATCCCTATGGGTTGATGTTAGCAATGGTAGATACAATCGTGTTGATCGTACCAGCGTCGAACGCAGCTTTCGAAGGCGCGCATTGTACTTCTTGACGGTGCAGCGAACCGATCCAGCGTGGGTTGGATCCAAAATCATTGGCCGTAGCGTCGGCGGGACTTGGCCGAGGGACGCCAGCGCTGAGTACTCACGCACATTCGACGTAATGTTGGCCCCTACGACCACCGACCACTTGGTGTCGGCCCGTGGGCGGGCGCCGCCTTCAAGGAGCACAAAAAAGCTCGCATCGCCCGCTTGATCGTGGCCCACAATGACACCAAAGTGCTCCGTACGACCACTCTACGCAAAAGAAGCTACGTAGCCGCAAGCACTGCCGCGACGAGGTAGAATACCGTGAGGCGGACGACGTCATGGATATGCAATGGTGCGGGCTTGGTCCATGGCTTCAAGCTGAAGCGCCAAGCGTCGCCGCGCGAACCCTTTTGAAGCAATACACTGGAGAGCGTCGCATTCTTCTTGAGCCTAAACAATAGAAATTGAAGCGAATCGGTTGGTATGTAAAGGATCATACCCTTGCCGAATCGCGTGGGCGACTTCCGTGACGAGCAGGGGCTACCATGCGTCCACGTACTCCTCAAGCTTGGCGTACGAAATCTTGGGCTCTTGAAGCGCTTGATGTCTGTCGGACCGAAGGTGCTTGAGAATGTCCACAAAAAAAGGCCGAGCGCAGGGGCAAGGGTGTGCGCGGACAGGGTCAAGCGTAGCCTTGTACTGTCTCGCGACGGCTTGGTCGGCTGAGGTGCTGTACGACGTCGATGCAACGTCTCGGCGCGCCACGATGGCGGCGTACGTTGCAGGCGCCTTCGTACTCGACGCCACGTGCTGCAAGCTGCCAAGCCGAGGGTGCTTGTTGAGCACGATCGCTGGCTTGGAGTGATACTATAATCCCATTTGATACAAAAACCAAGTATACAAAGATCTGGTGCTGAAATTAGAAAAGATGGAACCAGCTTTCTTCCAAGCTCACAGTCCAGAACTGGCTACCAAGTCAAGAACTTGGTGCGAGGACACACACACACGACACGTTGTAGTGCGTTGAGGGTCTCGACACTATTTCTATGTACCGACTCGAGATTGCAGGGGTCTGTCGGTACGCAGGAGCTTCTCGATGAGACCACAAACGTTCTCGTACGGTACTGGTGGCGGAGTTTATTGCTAGCGCACGCAGTCTTTCTACAATATATATATTGTAGTGCAGAGTTGGTGCAGCAGCAATGTCTTCTTCTGTCCCATTCACCGCCGTGAAGGGCATGGCGTCGCTGGCACTCTAGTGCTTGCGCTTACCAGTACTGCATGTCATTTACGAGCCGATCCTCTCGGTCGCCTCGCACTTGAAAGCTTGATACTTACTGAAAATCATTTGGTTCTATTGTACATCGCAACACTATTGTTGCGTCGACTATTCAAAGCAAACATCTCTGGAAGATATTGGCTCACTCATTTTGCACAATACAAGCATCCCGTCGACGCACAGCCCACCTCGCACCGATGGCTCTGGAAGTCCAAACCTCCTACATTCGATGCTATACGATACAAAATCAGAGGTTTTCAGATGCATGCCCACGCAACAGGTTGCATAAAAAACAAAATACGCATGCTGCGCGCAGGCCACCGCGCGCCCGTGCTCATCGCCGGCGGCGGGCCCGTCGGGCTCACGCTTGGCCTGCTCCTCGAGCACGTATACAAGGTTCCCGTGGACATCATCGACCGGCAGCTCTCGCCCACACACCACCCGCAAGCCCATTTCATGAACCTGCGCTCGATGGAGATCTTGCGCACGCACCTGCCCGTGCTGCACGACCGCGTCCTCGACCACGCCGCGCCGCCGCACCAAGTACGTCTTGTCCTTTCATATCTCTCATCCTACAGGTATCGCATCTAGTGGCGCGACTACGTCTACTGCGCCCGCGTCATGGGCAACGAGCTCGCGCGCGTCGACCAGTTTGGCCCGAGCATTCGCCACCCGCCCGCGTCGCCCGGCTTCCGCAACGAGCTCAGCGAGAGCTTGCACCTCTTGTCGCCGACGCAGCCCGTGCACTTTCCGCAGCACAAGTTTGAAGACCTCTTGAGCGCGTACGCAACCGAGGCCGGGCTCCGCTTCCGCCGCGGCGTCGAGCTCACGCGCCTCGAGACGACGCGCAGTGACGGGCTGCGCGTGGCGCTGCGCAACGTGTACGTATCTTTGTTTCGAGGCGCGATCGCATGCAACATCTATCGTTTGCGCAGGCAATCGGGGGCCACGGAAGAGCTCGAGTACGCGTACGTCATTGGCTGCGACGGCGCCCACAGCAAGGTGCGCGCGGCCGTCGGCGTGGCCATGGAAGGCTCGTCCAGGCTCCAGAGCCTCGTCAACGTGCATTTCACGAGCCACAAGGTTCGCCGTGTCTCGATGGATGTTTGATTTTCGACGCTGAGCGACGATGTAGCTTGCCGAACATGCGCGCACGTGCCCGGCCATGCTCTACTTTGTGGTACTACGTTTCTATCGACGCCATTCTCTGGGTTTGGACGGTGACCAGAAGTGGCATCTAGTTTAACCACTCGGTCATTGGGGTCTTGATCGCGCACGACCTCGAGAAGGGCGAGTGGGTTTTTCAAATCCCGTGTTTTCCGTCCAATCCCAAGAAGCCGCTCGCCGAGTACTCGACAGCAGCCTGCGACACGCTCATTCGCGCGGCAGCCACCGCGTCCGGCGCGGCCTCGCTCGACGTCGACATCCACTCTATCGGCTACTGGGAGATGCAGGCGCAGGTCGCCGCCACGTACAGTGCGGCCGACGACCGCGTCTTCTTGGCTGGCGACGCCGCGCACCGGTTCCCGCCCGCTGGTGGCTTTGGCATGAACACGGGCATCCAGGTTTGGCGTTTCTACCCATCTCAAGATCTCAAACGTGACGGGAGTAGGATGCGCACAACCTCGCGTGGCGGCTCGCGCGGCACGTGCACGGGTCGCCGACGTCGCTGCGTCAGTACTCGGCCGAGCGCCAGCCGATCGCCAAGGCCACGACGTCGCTGAGTCTCCAGAACTTTGAGCGGACGCTGCGGGTGCCAAGCGCGCTCCACGTCTCGTATGCGTCGGCGCAGCAGCTGGAAGCCGCGACGCACTCGTCTCTCTTCCAACTGCTACCGTCCAGCGTGCGCCAGTCGGTCGTCTCGTCGGCGCTGGCGGCCGGGTCGGCGCACCTCCGGTCGCTCGAAGACGCGGCGTCGAGCATGGGCGCGCACCTTCGCCGCCGCGTCACCGAGATTGTCCAGCGGCGCAAGGCCATTGGGATGCTCGTACGACGCCATAGCTACGTATAAGATCTGTGTGGCTCATGGGATCGGATGTAGTTTTTCAAGTGGGATCTGGGCTACGTCTACAACGCGCCGTTCCCGGACGCCACCGACGCGGCCCTCGATGCGTCGCACGAGTTCAATTCCCCCAACGGCTTTGTTCCTGCAATCCAAGTCGGCGGCCGCCTCCCGCACAAGTGGCTGCGATGGACCGACACGGACGCCGTCGTCTCGACACTCGACTTGCCGCACTTGATGGCCGCCTCGAAGGGCACGCCCGAGTACGTGCTTTTGGTGCTCGACACTACGGTGCCGTCTCTCTCGGTGCCCACAGTCGTTGTCGGCGCGTCGGCGACGTTTGTCGATGCGACCGAGTCGCTTGGCCCCGACGTCGCAGCGCTGCTCGTGCGCCCCGATGGTCACATTGCGCAGGTGTGGGCCGCTGCCACCGACGTCACGCAGGCCGCCATCGACGCTGCGATTGCCACCACTTAGAGTCAACCGTTCCATATCCATCGACGCGACGATATGTAAGAAGAGAGTGTGCGCGGTTGTCATCATGCAGTTGGATCGTGGGTGACGGGTTAGGGTTGACGCAGTACGTCGTCCCACGCCGGTCCTGTCGCAGAGACCCGCACTTGAGCAGCTCGGACGTTAGCAAACTGGGTAGCGCTGCATGGCCACGCATGTGACTCGATGCAGCACAACCAGCAGCGTCGTAGTCTCACGGATGGCCACCCAGCGAAGCAACGAAATCTAAGTCCGCAGGTCGTGGGCTGTCGTCCGGTGAAGTCGGCGACGACGTCCTCTCGCAGCTGGAATCAGGTGGACGCGCTTGGAAGTCGCTTTTCATCTCGCTGTGAGAAGCACAGCTGCCAAAGGGATCGTCTTCCTGCGCCGGACTGAGCCCAAGATACCTCGGCTCAATCCAAAATGAAAAAAATGAAAAAAACAATCGAAAAACCGCCATCCTCTCCCATGCTTTGCGTACTAAGTATGAGACGCTAGCAAGCAGCAGAGATGTCGAGTGTTCCTGCCGCAGATCTTGGCAGCACCCTTCTCTGAGCTTGCCTGGAGGTCATCGTCAATTGTCCATTGCCTTTTCGTGTCCGTCGAAACGGAACTTTAGTGAAGGCTTCACTTTTTAAAATTCAGCTGCTTTCCGACGTGGGACACGCTTGGCTGGAGCCAGAGCGGCAGCAGATTCACTTTCGCCGCGTACCAGCATGCAGTCGCTCCGCGTGCTCCTTCTGCTGCTTGCCGTCCTCTGCGTCGCGGGCATCGGCGCCAACGAGCAGAGCGTGACCGTCGACCATGGCCCGCTGGCCTTCTTTGACGTGGGCTACTTGCGCCACCTGCTCACGAGCTTCGCGCAAAAGGGCAGCAAGCCCGCACCGGCGCCACGACCTGCACCAGCGCCTGCACCACGTCCAGCACCAGCTCCGGCGCCAGGTCCTGCTCCGGGTCCTCGTCCAGGCCCTGCGCCAGGTCCTGCTCCAGGTCCCGCCCCTGGTCCTCGCCCCGGTCCCGCACCCGGCCCAGCACCCGGCCCAGGCCCTCGCCCCGTACCCGCGCCTGTGCCAGCGTCCGGTCCCCGCCCGATCGCGCCCGCCGTGGCCGCGAGCCAGCCGATGCCCAACCAAGGCATGCGCCCAATGCCGCCGCCGATGATCTACACGCCGGTGCGTCTTCGTGCCCATGTACCGCCCCTATGCGTACTCGTACATGTACTTTTCGCCACCGTACTTCTACTACCACCCGTACTACTACCCGCTGTACATTACGCCGACGCACTGGACCCGGTACCCGTGCTACCAGACCAACTGCCAAGCGCGCTACAACCAGTGCCTCGCAATGTACGGCAACGACGGCTGCGTCTGCTACCCCGGCTTCCTCCAGTGCGTCCAGACCAACTGCTACAACGACTACACACCTGCGTACCAGCAGTGCCAGTCGGCGATCCCGAACGCCAACCGCTGCGTCTTGACGTGCGCGCCGCAAGCGTACCCGGACCCGGCCGTCGCGCCAGTGCAGTACAGCTTGTACTCGACCCTGTGGATCCAAGGCGCCAACGCAACAGGCTTCCAGAACTACGCGTATGCGTTCTCCGAGACGCTGGCGTCGTACCTGAGCAGCAACAGCAGCGACGGCGCGTCGAACACATCGGCGACGATCGGCAACCCGCCCGTGGTCATGGCCAACGTGACGCTCTCCAAGACGGCTGACATCATCGTCAACGGCACGTCGCTGCTGCAGGTCGACGTCTTCATCAAGCGGCCGACGTTCGAGTCGCTCAATATCACCGCCAACAAGCTCAACGCGATCATGGCCAACAAGACGATGGAGCTCCAGAATGTACTCGTCAAGGCCGGCGTCCTCTTCGAGGCGGCGCAGCTCTCAGTGCAAACGTCGCAGACGAGTGTCGATACGCTCACCAAGGATGGTGCGATTCTTGTGGCGGCCGATCCGGCGACAGCTTCCATTGCGCCAAACTCGGATGGTACGCTGATCAGCGCTGGCGCGACCATGTCCCCGTGGGCGGCGGTGACGCTGATGGTCGTCTTCCTTCTCACCGCTCACATCATAGGCTAGGTAGGACTCATGATTTTATCACATAATTTACAAATGCACCATCATCGCTTCTTTGTATCAACTTGATAGTAAGAATGTCGGTGATCACGACAAGCTCGACACAAGGTGCGACCTCTATAATTCGATATCCAATCTATCGGTTGATGGAGGTCATTTCAGATTCGGGCATGGACAAGCCGGTCGGGTTCAAGCCGGCGCTCGTGGAGCGCCTCCTCCGCAGCGCATGGAAGCGACTAGCCGAGACCGAGGACGCGGACGGAAGCGACGACAGCGCCGACGATGACGACGCTGCCCTTGCCGACGGGCTCAAGGTCAAGATCCAGCCCGACACGCTGCCCGTTGCGGCCGAGTTCCTTCGCCTCTTTGTCCTGCAAGCGCTCGAGCGCGCCCAGGAAGAAGCTATGATTGACGGTAGCCCCGAGGTCGAGCCGCGCCACGTGGAGCAGATTCTCGCCCTCCTGCTCTTGGACTTTTAGTGCATGTTTCTACTACTTTAGTTACTTCAAGAGTGCTCGCTGGAGGAGCTGGTCGGGCGAGACGGGCATCGAGTTGTCCATCGCCGCGTCGCTGGTCAGGACGGCCGGAAGCACCATCGCTGAGGCGAGCGTCTCGAAGGGCCCGATCGCGTCGGCCGACATGGGCGAGGGCTCCGTGGCCAGCGGGACCCGCGGTCCGACCACGATGGCCGACTACACACACAGGCGTGGACTAGAGTTGAGTGGGAATTCCGTACTGCGGGACTAGGATCTTTGGTGTTGCGGTTCGAGTCGCGCCGGGTCGAGTCTTTTGTCTTGAGTGTCATTTGATTCATAATGGCAATTTCAACAATACGTTCTTGGGCAATTCCTGCAGGTTGGGTGAAAACCAAAATGTTGGAAATTTGGTGTCAAAAGTGAAAGAATACCGAGAATCGCAGGCAGGGGCATGTCCTGGACGGCCGCAATGTACCCGTTGCCTTGCAGCACGTGCTTGTCGGTTTTCAGCACTTCAAGGAGGTGCAAGATCGGCGCGCGCAACGCGTCGTGCTCCATCGAGCGCTTCCGCGTGAGCTCCAAGTACCTAATCCACATTAGTAGCATCCACAGCGAATAGTACATTTGACATACTCTTGGGTCTTGCGCTCGGCTTGACGGAGCTTTTCCTGGGCACTCTGGGTTTCGATCGCCTTGGCCGCGTCGGCCGCGTGCACCGACGACTGGATCTGCGCTGCTTCGTCCTCGAGTGCCGCCAATTGATCTTCAAAGCGCTTGACTTCTGCTTGCTGCTCGAGGTCCAGCTTGTAGAGCGAGATGAGCTAATGGAGAAAATGAGTGATATCCATCTCCACAAATAAAACAAAACCTGCGTCTCGGTCTCGACGAAGGCGTCGACGAACGCCTCGATGCTCGGGACATCGAGCTCGCTCTGGATCGTCTCGAACGTAGTCTACGCCGTCTCCGTGCAAAGCGTTTTACGGTGAAATGGACCTTGTGGCGGAGCGGTAATTCAGTCGCTTCGTTGATCTTTTCGCTGGCTTCGGCCGCCTACGACCAAATGGGATGCTTGTCGCTGAGCAGGAGCGTAGTACGGCGTTGCTCGCTTCCATGGACGCCAGCGCTTGTTCCCGTGCAGCCGCACGGTCGTGGATGAACGCCATCATACGGGGGACGTCCATGTGCACAAAGTTGTCTTCGGGTGGCAACTATCCCAGGAGGCACTCGATACATTGATACAATTGTGGAGCACGAGGTACCTTGAGCACGCGCTCGACCGCGTCGGCCTCGGCCTGCCGCTCCAATTCGGCGAGCTCGTTCATCGTATCCGATGCGACTTCTCGCGTCGTGTTGATGCGCTCCTCGGCCTCGATGATCTTCGTTCGCGCATCCTGGATGTCCGACTCGAGCTTGCGCTGGACTTGACCCAGGGACAACTAATGCAGTAGTTCCCGATAAAGGACTTTTAGCAGCAATGTCGCACCAGCTCTTGGCGGAGATAATCAATCGCTATGCGCACTGCGGCTTGCTGCGTCACGGCCTTCATGTACTCCTCTTCAGCCTTATTGAAGCGGTGCTGGACGACCGAGAGGCAGTGGGCGACGGCTTGGTCGTTCTCCTGGACTGCGTGGACACCCCGCAGCTGCTTGCGCATGATGTCGATGCTCCTACACGCGACGTCAAGCGCGGGCAGGTGAAGGCGCGCCGTACTTGTCGATGGATTTTTTCTCTGCGTCCAGCGACGCAATCTCTTTTTGCAGCGCCAAAACCTTTTCGTGGTACGCCATGTCGCTCTCGAGCAAGTGGTTGACCGTCGGCTTGGTCGTCTCGTCCGCCATCGTCGACGGTCGATGGCCGAGGGCCGACGCACTGCGGTGCCGGACCAGTGGTTTCGTCGGTGTCGTCACTTGTGCCATTTGAGGCATCTCGGCGAGCGGCTCGACTTGGCCCCTCTTTTTGCGAAGGCCATGGGCGCTCGCAGCTCTACGCCCATGGAGCCAACTCGATCAACAAGGTGTGGGTACCGAAGCGGCGACGACATTGGTTTCTTGGTCTTCTTCTTGGCTTGGCGTGGCACGGCATGCGCAGATTTCGGCGGCGGTGGCTTGCGCTGTGGCTTGGGTGACTCCAAGTAGACAATGTACTGGTCGTCTGACGCGCCAGGTTCGACCTTGCGATCGCACCCGTCGTTTGGAGGAGGGCGAGGTTGGATCTGGAGCCGAGAAGAAACTTTTGGTGGTCGCGCAGGTGGCTGTCTAGCAGAGCATTGTACTCTGGGATACCCTCTGACGCCAGGAACCGCGTCGTGTAGGCCGGCGATCTTGTGGGGGTGGCCATCGCACCACTGCAGTTACACTGTCCTTTCTCGTTTTGGTAGTCGTTTAGTTAGTCGTTCTGGATCCCGTGTGCGGCATATCCGGATGCGGTCGTTTTTTCTATTAAAATACAGCGCTTGCAGGTGATACATCGACGTATTTTTTACAAGTATTTCTTCTCCTTCGTATCCGGTCAAGATATTTTTATATGCATTGTCTGTTGGTTTGTATGCAATAGAATACTTTTAATTAATTCCAAGGCTCCGACCCGCTGACCGGTCATAAAGACCCGATGGCGTTCTCGTTCCTCGGCCTCCCCGCGCCCGTACGCACCTACGCCAAGCCGGCCGAGCCGGCGCCGACGGCCGCGCCAGCCGCGAGCACCGTCGTGGCCAAGGCTCCGCGCCGAAGTGTCCCGGCGTACCCGCACCGCGCCAAGTTCGTCCCGCGGGCGGCCGAGGACTATGGCGACGGCGGCGCGTACCCGGAGATCCACGTCTCGCAGTTCCCGATGGGCGTTGGCAGCAAGGACAAGATCAGCGACACGAACGTGCTGGCGCTGCAGGTCAACGAGAGCGGCCGCGCGCAGTACGATGCGATCGTCAAGAAGAAGAACCAGATCGTGTACAGCAGCTTCGCCGACGTGGTCGAGAAGGTGCCCGAGGCCGAGGCGCTCGAGAAGCCGTCGGTGGAAGAAGAGATGGAAGCCGCGGCCAAGACCAAGGCAGCGCTCGATGCGCTCGTGTCGGGCAAGGTCGCTGCCGCCCACCCGATCAACGCCACGCGGCAGTTGTCGGTCAAGGAGAACTCGAGCTACATCCGGTACGATCCACGCTCCTTGTTCAAAAGATAGACGCCACCGCGTCTGTAGGTATACGCCCCATGACCAAGGCAATGGCGACAAGCCGCCCGAGCAGCGTATTATCCGCATGGTTGAAGCGCCCGTGGACCCGATGCAACCGCCGAAATACAAGCACAAGAAAGCGGTGCGTGGCCCTGGGTCGCCGCCCGTGCCTGTGCTGCACTCGCCGCCGCGCAAGCTGACGGTCCAGGACCAGCAGGCGTGGAAGATCCCGCCGTGCATCTCCAACTGGAAGAACGCCAAGGGCTACACGATTGCCCTCGACAAGCGTCTTGCTGCCGACGGCCGTGGCCTCCAAAAGGTCACTGTCAACGACCAGTTTGCATCCTTTGCTGAAGCCCTCGCGATTGCCGAGCGCAAGGCGCGCGAAGAAGTCAACATGCGAGCGAACGTTCAGAAGCGCCTCGATGCCAAGCAGAAGGAGCTCAAGGAACAGGAGCTGCGCGACTTGGCCGCCAAGGCTCGCATGGAGCGGTCGGGTGGCCGCGACGACCGCCGCCACAGTGACGACGACGACGACGATGATGATCCGCGCGCGCGTCGCGAACGTGACAAGTACATTCTCCTTGGTCCTGCCATGCGTGAGCTCATGCGTGCTGTCATGTAGGCTCCGCCACGAACGCATGCGCGAACGTGAGCGCGAAATGCGCCTCGAGAACCTCATGGGCAAGAAGGGCAAGCTCGCGCGCGACGAAGACCGCGACGTCTCGGAGAAGATCGCGCTTGGCCAGCTCCAGGGCGGCAAGGGCGCGAGCGGCGCGCAGTTTGATTCGCGTCTCTTCAACCAGACGCAGGGCATGGACTCTGGCTTTGGCAACGACGACGAGTACAACGTGTACAGCAAGCCGATGATGGACCGCGGCAAGGCGAGCGTGTACCGGCCCAAGGCCGACGCCGAGGGTATTGACGGCGACAAGGACTACGCCGACCTCAAGAGCTCGAGCACCAAGCGCTTCCGCGCCGACAAGGAGTTTGCAGGCACCAACCACGCGCAGGCGCGCAGCGGACCCGTCCAGTTCACCTACGACGACGCGCGGGATCGGAAGCGCAGTCGGTCCCGCTCCGACTCGCGCGATCGTCGCCGCCGGTCGCGGTCTGACTCGCGGGACCGTCGTCGGAGCCGCAGCCGGGAGCCCAAGCGGCGGCGCCACAGCGACGACGACGAAGAGTCCAAGGACCCATTTGACGTCGACCGGTTCCTCTCGGACGCTCGCCGTCGATAAGCGTCCTGTATAATCGCATGCACACTTTTTTTGCCGGGCAATGACGGGCAATGACGATGGTACAGAAAGTTAAATTAGACCAACTAGTTGAGTAGGAACGCGACACTCAAACGGTTGGACAAGGAGGTAGTAGGAGCGCGGCACGAAGCGTCTGGTGTCGGCGACGCAGGAGCCACGGTGCCGTCGACCTTGGCGGCAAGCTTGCGCGCCCTCATGCGCATGTACTTTTGGCGCTGACGCAATCGCTCCTTCTCCCGGTTTTCATTGTAGTATGTGCGTAGCTTGGCGAGGACAGAGTCGCGATTGTCCTCGTAGTACTGCTTGGAGCGCACGCGGTTCGTCTCCAACTGCTGCTTGGTCAAGACGCGCTTCTTGAGAGGCCCCGCCGACGGCATTTCTCGAAAGTTGGCAAAAACTAGACTGCATTCAGCCCCGAAAAGTCCCACGTTGATGGATGTGCTTGTGTGAATGGACGAGCTTGGATGCCACATCACAGACACAAGCTTCGGTGCTGCTCGCCGGCGTACACCACCGGTGTAGCTCGCCGACGTGGATTTGGGTGACGACAGCCTCATCGATGCAACGCGCTCTATGAAGTAGGGGCACCACCCACGTGCTGGACTAACTAGGAACTGTACACTTGATCAGCCTTGACGTTGAGACGATACTACCGGTAATGTGTTGGGCGTTGGTACTGAAGCGAAGTACGTGTGGTCAGGAATCGCTCGAATAGTACGTGTAGCAAGCAAGAACGAGCAGCGAGATCGACTACGAACGACGCGGGTTGTTGTCGCTACACTGTGTTTGTACTAAGATAAGGTACTGTCTGCACCCTACTATGTACGTAGTATTCGCCCTCGCACGTACCCCGAGCTCCACGGACGTGAGGATGTGGTCGCGATGTGGCCTTCGCCCACTCTGTTCCTTTTGACCAGCATATGTTTGCTAGTAATTACCTTGTATAAGTACATGTCCACGGGAGCGCGCCAGAGACGACGCGTTCATCTACTTGAAAACGGCAAACCATATCTCGCGATAGCGCTAGATGCATGACAAGGCGCCTATCAGCTCCTTTTACGCTATAAACTGGCTGCGTACATGCTAGGATCTACAGGTTGCGGGCGTGCGGGCGAGAGGTTGGCGCTTGGTATCTTTATTTCGCAGTCGCGAGCGCTCTGATTGGATGCCACATCATTCAAGACGTCACTGTTCGTCACGTGGCACGTGATTGGTTCCATGTGGCGCCACGCGACTAGCTCGTCGTGGCAAGGACCTGGTGCATAACTCACAAATGACCGCTATACTTTCGAACGTGTGTTGCTGGGTTTTTTGATAAGAGGATGTCCTGTCTACCTTCGTCGTCATGGTGTCCACGGACCTGCTCTGGTGGCTGACTGAATTTGAACCACCTGCGCTGGTCAGTGACTCGACCATGGGTGCACCCACGTGATCGCTACGGCTTCAGAAGCTGAGCTGCAGTGGGACAACCAAAAGGATGTGGGCGATTTTTCAAATTTGGTATCTTATCTTTTCACTTTCCAATTTGCCTCGCCATGGCCGAGTACGCTGCGATGAAGAGCCCGCCTGGGTGTCCGCCGGACGCAGCCGCGCCCCGGAAGCGGTACCTCAACATTGCCATCTCCAACGACAACGAGCAAGGCCCGTCGTTCCTCTATCCTGCCAAAGACTGCGGCTACGAAAACGTCACGGCGCCGCCGGACGAAATCGACGCGATCCGCGTGACGCTCAACCGCCCCAAGAAGCTTCTCGGCGAGTGGCGCTCGACCGCCATCTCGGGCAACGATCTCCTCGGCAGTTGCCTCTACTCGGCTGGTCTCGTCGCCGCGTCCGCCGGGTACCTCGCGCCCGTCGGCTTCCTCCTCGTCTCGCTCGTGCTCTATGTCTTCCGCTTCATCTACGAGGAGGTTGTGACAGCTTTTCCGCTCAACGGAGGTTCGTACAACTGCCTCCTCAACACCACGTCGAAGCGGTTTGCCGCGATTGCGGCGTGCATGAGCATCCTCTCGTACCTCGCAACCGCGGTGGTCTCGGCCACATCGGCGACATTCTACTTTCAGTCGCAGTTCCCAGAGCTGCCCGTCCTCGGCACATCGATCGGCATCCTCGGACTCTTTGGTGTTCTGAACATCATTGGCATTGGCGAGTCGGCGGTCGTCGCATTGATCATCTTCAGCTTCCACGTGTTGACGCTCACGGTGCTCGTTGTCGTCAGCGCCATCTACACGGTATCCCCTCGATTTGTCGTGACCACGTCTCGTACTAATTGCCATATCTAGTTCAAGCACCCGGACGTTATGAAGGACAACTTTCACACGGCGCTGCCAAATGTCGACTTTGCCGGCAACATCATCACGGGCAATGTCGCGACGGCGCTCTTCTTTGGGTTTTCGTCGGCGATGCTCGGCGTCACGGGGTTCGAAACTTCGTCCAACTTTGTCGAGAACCAGCAGCCAGGCGTCTTTCGGAAAACGATGCGGGTACTCTCTTCCTACTCCTGCCAGCGCGCTCACGCTGCCATGTAGAACATGTGGGGGTTTGCCACGGTCTACAACCCGATTCTGTCGCTTTTGAGTCTCGGCGTGCTTCCGCTGCACAGCGAAGACGGGCTCATGGCGTTCCAGAGCACGGTGCTTGCGCAAATGGGCTACGTCGCGGGTGGCAAGTGGCTCCAGCTCTGGGTAGCCATCGATGCACTTGTCGTGCTGGCGGCCGGTGTCCTCACGTCGTACGTCGGCATCACGGGTCTCATCCGGCGCCTCAGCAACGACCGCGTCGTTCCGGCCTTCCTCACGCACGAGAACAATTGCCGCGGGACACCGCATTGGATCTCGATTCTCTTCTTCGTCGTGAGCGCGAGTCTCGTCTGGGTCCTCAACGCCGACGCAACGATTCTCGGCGGCGTCTTTACCTTCGCGTTCCTCTCGATGATGTTCCTCTTTGGCGCGGGCTGCATTACGCTCAAGCTCAAGCGCACCGACATTCCGCGCGACGTGCAGGCACCGTGGTGGGCGTGCATCCTCGGTGTCACCATGGTCGCGATCGGGTATTTCTGCCAGCTCCTTGGCAACCCGCAAGTGCTTTTGTACTTTTTCCTCTACTTTATCGTGATTGCCGGCGTCGTCTTCGGCATGGTCGAGCGCATCGCGATCCTCCGCCTCTTCATCTTTGTCATCAACGTCGGTTGCGGCAAGAGCAAGACGACCAAGACAACAGCGACGAGGACGCCCGACGCGCTTGAAAGCAGCCAGCCGAGCAAGGTCCGGTTCTTTGAGAGCGAAAACCACCGTGTCGCCAAGCTCACGCAGGCCATCAAGACGATGAACGAGCGCCCGATGATCTTTTTTGTGAAAGCACCCAACCTCACGACGATGAACAAGGCCATCATGTACGTTCGCCGCAACGAGATCACGCAGCACCTCCGCTTCGTGCACGTGTACGCGGACGAGAACGAAGCGAGCGCGATGGCGATCCAAGAAATGCGGGACATGGTCACGCTCTTCGACTCGATTTACCCCAAGCTCCGCATGGACTTTATGTCCGTTATCGGCAACTTTGACCCGGCCATGATCCAGTGGATTGCGCAAGAGTACGACGTGCCCACCAACATGATGTTCATCAAGCAGCCCAGCAACCTCGCGGCGCACAAGGTCTCGTCGCGCGGCGTCCGCGTCATCACGGGCTAAGAACGACTACGACACTGCCGAACGCAGGCAGTGTTTTTATAGTAACGTAATAGCAAGTCTCATGTATAAAAACAAGGTCAACGCGGCCCCATATCGTTATTGAATCATCGGAACGTCCTACTAAGGAAATAGATATCCTTGGTCCGACGCTAGTCCAGGTACATCGCGATCGAATAGAACCAGCTCCAGCGCCATGTCTTGGCCTTTGTAGACGCTCGAGGAGCTCTTGTGCTCGAGCTCCTTCAATTCGACGCGTGGTAGAAACCTTTGAAAAATGAGGTCCAAGTCTCACGCGATACGACGAGTACGGCTCTAGGAGCAGCCCACGACTAAACTCTATTGAAAAGCGACTAAATTCCAACTGGGGGCCATGCGCAAGATGACTATATTCTCGACTAACGTGTTGAATCGCTTTTTAGTCGGTTGTCGATGTGGCACCAAGTACAGTTGCTCGATTTTGTGTGCGCATCCTTGCCAGAAGATCAAAAGGCAGTTGACCAATCGCAGGCGCCAGATAAAGATATCTGCACATGGATTGGTCAATCGTGCACCAATGGCATCGCGGCTTCGGGATCCGGCTGGAGCTGGGCTGGATGCAGTCGATCATTCAAGGTTTTGCCATGTCGGCCGAGTACGGGGAGATGGAGTCGCCGAGCGTGGTCACGCTACCGCCGGAGCTTCCACCCACGGGCCCGAAGCGGTACCTCAACATCGCCATCTCCAACAACAACGAGCAAGGCCCGTCGTTCCTCTACCCGACCAAGGACTGCGGCTACGAAAACGTCACGGCGCCGCCGGACGAAATCGACGCCATCCGCGCGGCGCAGAGCCAGCCCAAGAAGCTTCTCGGCGAGTGGCGCTCGACCGCCATCTCGGGCAACGATCTCCTCGGCAGTTGCCTCTACTCCGCTGGCGTCGTCGCCGCGTCCGGCGGGTACCTCGCGCCCGTCGGCTTCCTCCTCGTCTCGCTCGTGCTCTATGTCTTCCGCTTCATTTACGAGGAGGTTGTGACGGCCTTTCCGCTCAACGGTGGTTCGTACAACTGCCTCCTCAACACCACGTCGAAGCGGTTTGCGGCCGTGGCAGCGTGCTTGAGCATCCTCTCGTACCTCGCAACCGCGGTTGTCTCGGCCACATCGGCTGCCTACTACTTCAAGTACGAGGTAATACGACTGCTACACTCGAACGATACCGTATCTGCTCTTTCCTGGGTAACTAGTACCCGGATCTACCGCTCCTCGCCACGTCGATCGGCATCCTCGGACTCTTCGCCGTCTTGAACATCATTGGCATTGGCGAGTCGTCGGTCGTCGCACTCGTCATCTTCAGCTTTCACGTGTTGACGCTCACGGTGCTCGTGGTCGTCAGCGCCGTTTACACGGTGTTGCATTTCGAGCATTGAACGCATCGCATATTATTGTCCTCTCTAGTTGCAGCACCCGGATATCATCAAGGACAACTACCACGAGCCCTTACCCGACGTCAACTTTGCTGGCAATTTGATCACGGGCAATGTCGCGACGGCCCTTTTCTTTGGGTTTTCGTCGGCGATGCTCGGCGTCACGGGGTTCGAAACCTCGTCCAACTTTGTCGAGGAGCAGCAGCCAGGCGTCTTTCGGAAAACGATGCGGGTATGTCGGCCGATGCGCTGCTGTCGGATCGCACAACTCGATGTAGAACATGTGGGCGTTCGCCACGGTCTACAACATCCTCTTGTCGCTTTTGAGTCTCGGCGTGCTCCCGCTCAACGCGCCCAACGGCCTCCTCGCCAACGAGAGCACGGTGCTTGCGCAAATGGGCTACATTGCCGGTGGCAAGTGGCTCCAGATATGGATCGCGATTGATGCGCTCGTCGTGCTCTCAGCCGGAGTCCTCACGTCCTTCGTCGGTATCACAGGACTCATCCTCCGTCTCAGCAACGACCGCGTCATGCCGGCCTTCCTCACGTACCAAAACACGTGCCGCGGGACACCGCATTGGATCTCGATCCTCTTCTTCGTCGTGAGCGCGAGTCTCATTCTGGTGCTGGACGCCAACATTAAGATCCTCGGCGGCGTCTTTACCTTCGCGTTCCTCTCGATGATGATTCTCTTTGGCGCGGGCTGCATTACGCTCAAGCTCAAGCGCACCGACATTCCGCGCGACGTGCAGGCGCCGTGGTGGTCGTGCATCCTCGGCGTCACCATGGTCGGTATTGGATTCTTTTGCCAGCTCCTCGGCAACCCACAAGTGCTCCTGTACTTTTTCCTGTACCTCACTGGGATTGCAACTGTTGTCTTTGGCATGGTCGAGCGCATCGCGATCCTCCGCGTGCTCATCCTCGTCGTCAACCTCGTGTGCGGCAGCGAAAAGCGCGAGCCGTCATCGTCCAAGGGGCGGTACTTTGAGCGCGAGAACGACCGTGTCGCCAAGCTCACGCAGGCCATCAAGACGATGAACGAGCGCCCGATGATCTTCTTTGTGAAAGCACCCAACCTCACGACGATGAACAAGGCCATCATGTACGTTCGCTCCAACGAGATCACGCAGCACCTCCGCTTCGTGCACGTGTACGCGGACGAGACCGAGCCGACCTTGACAGCGATCCAAGAAATGCGGGACATGGTCACGCTCTTCGACAGCATGTACCCCAAGCTCCAGTATGTCCTCGATTGCTTTCAAAAAGGACGAGCTAAGTCGTACCTTGTAGAATGGACTTTGTCTCGATCCACGGCGCGTTTGACCCGGCCATGATCGCATGGATCGCACACGAGTTCGACATCCCGACCAATACCATGTTCATCAAGCAGCCGAGCAACCTCGCGGCACACAAGGTCTCGTCGCGCGGCGTCCGCGTCATCACGGGCTGAGAAGAATGCAAGGCCGAGCAAAGAGCGTATGGATCCCGCGCCCTATTTGTGGCTGTTGTCGACTAAAACAAGACAAGACGTGGTGTGGTATGGCTCTTATTTGTGGCTTGTGGGCATAGAAACGGTCATTTGTGGCACCACACGACAATGTTGTCCGGCGGCTAGGTATGCTGCGACTAATAAGAATATCGAGCCCGGTTTGTAAACAATCCGAGAGGTGCACTGGAGTTGTACGTGCAAATGGGACAGACCGTGCACCGGTGGACGCGACTCGGCGCGGTTATCGGCGCCAATTGGCGGACGGAGGCGATGCGTCGAGCCAATCATCGTCTCCGAGTCTTTGCCCATGCTGCTTGGCACGTGTGATACGACCTGGGACATGCGATGCGCCAATGGCGCCAGCGCGTGGAGATTGCAGCCGAATCTGATTGCCATTCTTATCACGAAAAACGTCTGTCGCTACTTGGCAGCTTCAAGTGG